ACCCCAAGACAATATTTTTCAAAAGCTATGAGCTGAACATTTTAATTCCACTGTATTACTAGAAGGAGTTGTGTATCTTTTTGTTATATTTTCCAAATTTTTCTACAGGTCAGTGTTACTCTACATAGGTTCAAGTGATCATCAGAAAGAGTGTCAATATTAGGATAAATTACCTTTTCTACCTTTTCTATTTTTATTACCTTTTCTACCTTTTCTACCTTTATTACCTTTTCTACCTTTTCTAAAAAGATATATAAACCCTCCCTTTTCTCTTTGCTCCAAAGAAGATTTGTCCTTTACAATTTCCTATTTAATAATAGTAAAATAGTTCTAACTACAAGTTCTTTAGTTATTACTCAATAAAGTTCTAAGTTCTCTATTAGTTCTTTAATAAATATAATTTTTTGGCTTTAAAAATAAACTTCTCTAATGAACTGCTACAGTGAAGTAACATTCTACTTTAATACCATTGAGAGTCTCTCTTCTATGTTTTATGTTACTTGAGATGTATTAAAAAGGCTATACTACTTGTAACAGTTATATTGATCATTATCAAATCTCTTCAAATATATAGACAAAAAACTCATTTTTATTTTAAAAATAATTTTTGTATTATCATAGTTAATAATTTTATCTTATATATATACTATAGCTAATAGACTTATAAATTAGTATTAGATTATGTATAATTTGTTATACAAACAAAGTTTATAAGTTAGATTTATAAAAAATAAAAAAATATTAATAAATTAAATAAATAAATAAAAATTTTTTTTAAAAAAAAAAAACCTATTTGAACCTAAATAAGTAAATGAATTTCAAACTGAACTTGAACTAAATATAACTTTATATTTGAGTCTAGTTTAGATTCAAACTTTAACATTCAAGTTCAAGTTCAAATTCAGAATTATACAAATATTATAGTTCAGGTTCAGTTTGAGTTTAGAAGTTCAACTAAACCTAAACAATCTGAACTAAACCTAGAAGCTTTACTCTGATATTTTGAAAATCTTAGTATTTGTTATATCTTTTAAGGTTAAAGTTATCATTCTGTAAAGATTAATAGAAATTACAAACCTCTGTATATTACTGAACTTATAAGATAATTTATGTTTTATTAAGTTTGTTATATAATATTTTAATTTTAGTCTTGTAATATAAAACTTATATTTTTTAGATCTGCAATTCTTTAATTTTAAATAATCTACTAACTAGATTATTTTTTTATTTTAGTTTTTAAACTAAGTTTTCTTAATATTAATATTATTTGTTAATAGATTACATCTTATCTGATTATTTCTAATACTATAATTATACTAATGAATCACTTATATATATATAGATCTTATTTTTTTAAAAAAAAAAATTTGTTAAAGATTTTTTTAATTATGATTTTAACAAAACTTTGTTATTTAGTTGAATTTGAACTCATAATCTTGTAATTGTGATTTGAGAATAATAATTATTATACTATTAACCTACAAATCAGTAATTAAAATTTATTTTTTGTTTTATAAAAATTTTTTTTTGTTAAACAAATTTGTAAATCAAATATTACTTATAGTATATATTTTATAATAATTGTTTATAAGATATTAGATTTAATTAGTTCAAATTAGATTTTGTATAATATATTATAAATATTAAAAATAAATCTAACTAATCATATTTGTTTAAAACTATATAGCTAATAAGTTATTAGTATTTCGAAACTAATAATTTGTTAAAACTAAAACAAAAACTAATATTAGTTAAAAAGGTTATACTATATATATTTTTTTAAAAAAAAATTTATTAAATTTGATTTGAAATATTTTTATTCAAAGTTAGTAAAACAACTCAAATATTTTAAAAAATTAAAACTAAATTAAGTTTTCTTTTAAACTTTAAACAAAAATATTTTTATTTAAAGTTTAAAAATATAAAAAGTAAAATTTGTATTTCTAATTGGTTGAATATTAATACCACATATTCAGATTATGTGTTAAAAGATGATTAGTAAATCTGATATTATAAAATATAATAATAGATTTTACTTTTATATTGTATATTCTTTAATATGATTTTGATATTTATAAATAATACGTAAAAATATCAAAAAACATAGCCTTTTCATTTCCGAATATAATTAAATCATCAATAATATGAATTTGAAATTGGTTAGCCGATTTTATAAAATTATATACAGTACGTACGTATAATACGTATATTATCTGTTATGTTAAATTGTTTCAAATAATCTGTATATTAATTAAGAAGTAATAGTCATCTATCACGTGAATAATGTAATATAAAAGAAATCAAAAATTAATAATGTATATACAATGATATAAATAGGACAATTAGAAATAATTAAAGCTAATGAATGGTTAAAGAAAAGCTATGTTTTGCTTTTTTTTTTGATTTAATCAAATTTTTTTCAGGAAAATTTTTAATCCTGAAGAGATTTAAAAGGAATTTTTTGGAAATATAAAAAAAAATAGCAATAACAAAATTTTTTTTTTTTTTTTTAACAAAAAATAAAATTGAATGAATGAACGAACGAGACTATATAACAAGATATGTGAATATATGTATGAAAAAAAAAAAATGAAAAAAAGACGTTAATATATTACACAAAAAAAAAAAAGGCGCATTTACTGTAGAATATTTTTTTAAAAAAATATTAAATTTGGAGCGAATCGTGATAATAATCGTTAAAAGAATTTAGTAGTAGTAATGTTCATTAAATAAAACTCATAAATCATGAAACATAAACTCGGCCACCGTGAAAATTACATGATTATAACTAATGGTGTTAATGTAGTATCTATAGTAAAGTGTAAAAAAAAAAAAATTTGATTTGAAAAAAAAAATCAAGCCAAAAAACCATCATCTATCATATAATCGTGCCTCCTATGATCATAAAGAGTCCCAGAATTTCGACTATTCCTAACATTTGGCACTTGTTGATAATCAATTTCACTTCTTGAATAACTTTGACTTCGTCGAAACTTTCGACGATCGGGATCACGCCACGCTAACCATTGAAGAAATACGACAGAGTCAAATGATAAGGTACCGATAGCTCCCAGTATGTAAGGAACGGCTTCACGAAGAAAAGAAGTATCTTTTGATGCTAATGGGTTAGTCAAAATGCACAGAGTATAGGCGAGATTAGCAAGAGCTGCAAATATGAACAATAGTATTGAAAGTCCTTCAACAGATTTTCTTGTATACTAAAAAATAAATAAATATATATATATATATAAGTGGGATAAAAAATATATATAATATCAGATATATATAAAAGTAAAGAAAATAATACATTTTTCCATATTTGCGGCATTCGGCTGGTTAGATATAGCACAGTGCAAGCCCAGGCCATTATCCTCCCTATAAACATATCGGTATTTATTTGATCATCATTATGGAGAGTAACATCATTAAAATATATAGCTCGAGAGTGGTTGTTTGGAAGGGTTGTGGAAAGGGAAGGCTTTATGATAGAAGTGGAATGAAAAGTGAGAAGGAGGACAGCGAAAACCATTGAAGAACTAATTAAAAAAAATTAAGATCAATTAAATTACAAAGAAAATTAAATTAAAATCACATGATGAACAGTAGAAAAATATAATTATAGGACTTACATTCGTTTATGTGTTCCTTTCTTTAATTCTGGAAACGTGTAACTTTTTTTTGCACCTTCTAATATCGAGTCTCTCAACGAAATCATAGAAAATCTTGAACCATGTGGTACTTCAGAATCTAAGGTTAGTTCATAATCAAGATTCTTCGGATAGAACCAAGAGTAATAAAAGTATTGGAAAAAAAGTCCAAAGTCCACAGAGCAGAAATAGATTGCAAGATACGTCTGTAAATTGAGAATACAGGTAAGTGAGTGAGAAACGAGAGAAAAAGAAAGGCAGTCACATGATCAATTACCTGGAATGGCAACTGCTTAGTCAGTATGCAGCCGGCCAGATTTGCCAAATCGCCCAAAAGCCAATTCATTAAAAAGTATAAACTAAGTCCATCCGCGGACTTATTACGGTAATTTGTTAAAATTTGGCTAAGTATGAAAAAATTGATGATCAATCAATTGACCAAGCCAAGGGAAGATAAGATAGGGGCAAAAAAAAAAAAAAAACTTACGGAAATTGGGCACATAACCAGCATGATATAGAAACAATTCCTATAAAAAAAAATAAGATAATAATAAAATTGGGTAAAGTAATATATTATGAGATTAATATGAGGATTCGATGGAAACCAACAGATGACTAAATGATGACTAGCGACAACTAGAAATAACGATATAAATAAGCCTCTCTCTCGAGATATATATACCTAATATAAAGCTAGTTGCTTCCCAGTTGCCATATACACAGGTTCCGAATAAAAAATGTATCCAACGTATATATGGATAACCATCTTCTGATATAGGTTCACACTCTGAATACATCATCAAATAAATTTTTTGTTTTTTAAAAAATTGTTTTTTTTTTTGTTTTTTTTTTGTTTTTTTTTTAAAATGATTTCGTAGATTTAGTAGTATTAGGTGGTCATAAAAATTTTGAAAGCGTTTATCGTCTTTAATCGATTAATCGATTAGGAGTAGAAAGACTCGATTATTAATAGTACACGTTATAAAAAAAGTTACTAAAGAAAGGATGGTGGCCGAGGAAAATATCATTGAAAACGAGAAAAAAAAATTCGAAAAGTTAAATAGGGGGTTCTCAAGGTATAAATGTAAAATATACAGAAAAGTTAATCAGATACGTAAGCATCTTGTATCCATAATAAAAAAAAAAAAGACCGAAGATAAACTTGTTACATGAATATACTGAATAAGTTATAATAAGTTATATATTATTATGTAATATGATAATAATAAAGGTAATATAAAGGTTATAAAAATAAAGAATAAAGTAAATATCACAAGCATAAATAATAAAATGCGCGGTTTATCGATAGGAACAGTATATTTACATAGTATAAAAACTCATTTTAAGCCATGTTTAAATTAATGATATTCAGACCTCCGTGTTGTGTTTGATGAACAGATCTCGAAAATTGTGTAACTTATCAAATGACCAGAGCATTTTCTCCTTTGTAACCTTATGACACTGCGTACTTAATATTTGCGTATGCGTCACACTTGAGGTCACCTGTTAAGGTAGAAAGTAAACAAACATGTAAGACCTTTATGGAGATACAGTATGTTGTGAACCTGTTATAACTTAACCAAGAATTAACCAGTGCTACACTTCTTTGCTATTTAAATGATCTTTTCTCGTCATTGACCAGTTTTTTAGCCAGCCATTTTCATCACTAATACTATTGTGTTTTACCATTACAGCTACTAACAGTATTGTTATCATTCAATTCTCGCTCAAATCATTGTTCACTTCGTAGATATGAATGATAGTTATGTAAAAATGCTATCTCGTACGTAACAAGATAATGCGCATATACATTCCTTATGCATGAAAAAAGGAGGTATTTAATACTCGTGTACTAATAAATGTATTATCTTTGCAATCAGAATTCGTTATCTTTGCCATCTATTTATTCTAAATATATAATAAAAAGCCATGTTATTTAATAAAGTCAACGAAGAAAGAATTTGGATCATTAATTATCATTGTTTTATAATTGGTCACATGTTGTATTCAATCGCATTATTATTGTTGACTCGTGATCCTCAAGATACTTTTTAAAGAATGCCACAGAATAAAATATAAATTAATAGAATAAAATTAAATAGAATTAATATTATTATACTGCACGGAATTTATTTTCGTGTAAAGTATATGTACGTATGTCTTGCTGAACAGTGAATTTTTTTTTTTTTTTTTTGAAGCATCAACATATGATGCATACATGATAGAGAACATTTTTCTTTTGCTTCTTTAATATTCTTAATATTCTTAATATTCTTATTATTCTTATCAAGATCCGTATATTGATTATGATATAATTATTTGAAAATCTTTCTTATTTTTATCGCGCGGTGAATTTTATTGGTAAAATATTTTAACTTTGTTCGGATTGGTAAAAAAAGATTTAAACTACTCATGTGTTCAATAGATTTAAACTATTTAATGAATTTCGTCAGAAACCAATATCGCGTAATTACACATGAGTTTGATAATTAATCATCCAAAACTTTTTTCATTTAAAATAAAAATAGTATTTATCGTTATGGTACTCATGTCTTGACGCGCACAAAAAGAACATCCACGAATTGTGATACGTAGATACTTTTGCCTATCTATTCAATGATGATTAATTGCTAATCAACTTTTATTGATAATTACGTAACAATCATTTATATATTTAACTGATAAGGACCTGATATCAAAAATTGTTTCTTTAAAAACAGTAAATTAATGTCTTAAATCCCTATTATTTCCGATAAAATCCATTGTTAAAAAAAAGATAAACAAAATTAACATGTTGTGATACATACATACATTGCTCTAGATATCGAATTTTTTATTGTATTCTACAGTTTTATGTGGCTAAAAATTGGCGGGATGTTAATATTAATCATGTGATATTTGATATTTCTATATTTTCTCGCTTTCTAATATTCACGTGGTAGTTGTTTTCTAATTCGCGTAAAATTGAAATTCGATATCTTTTTTTTTATTTTTATTTCATGCATTTTTATTTTAATTCAATTTAAATTAACTGAAAAAGTATGAACCTTTATGGATTATGCGTATTAATAAATTTGTGTTATTTATATAATGTATATTAATAGTATAGTAATTATCCAATAGTTTTAAAAATTGTGGTCGGTGCGTTATATTGATCTTAATGTTACAACTAAAAAAAACAAACATCATTTATCATATGGGTTTTGAGTAATTTATCTGTTATGTCACTTACATTTCAGTTTCAAGCTCGTGTACATAAGCAGCCAATGTTTTTGACAATGTTTTGACAATGTTTGGTTTTTGTTTCATGTAAGAAGCTGGTTTTAGGCATATGTGTACCTTGTTAGCGGGAAAAATAAATATTAAAAAAATCCGGTAATAAAACGCCAAAATTTTATTTTGGTAACTTTGTATTATCTATCCTATCTCATTATATCATTTACGTATTTGCTTAAAAAGTTAATCAGATAACTAACTTTCTTATGATTACGCGACTCTGATTATTTCTTAATTGGTGTTCATAATATACCCATTCTTAGCTTTATATAATTATCTTATTACGTATTATAAACTATACGTAGCATATTCTTATTATAAACTAACGTAGCATATAATTTATATATTCTTATTATAAACTATAGAATATGCGTTAACTTTCTTCAAGTTTTTAAATATATATATAAATGGAACTATGTTTAGTCAAGTCTATTCTCCCCCACAAATTTCCCATAGTCGAATCATCTTGTCGCATCATCGTCATGTATCATCATGTATCGTCATGTATCATATTATAGTAGATATAATCCCAATCCGAGAATTTTATTGTAAATGTTACCCGTGAATATTATGTAAATACTATTTTTATTTTATGTGATCAATATTGATAGGTCAATATTTTTGTTAATTACAAAGGCTCTACAGGATTAATTTAATAAAATACCATATTTCATGTGTTAATTTTCTCTACATTATTCTTTTTATTATCAGATATTTTTACAAAATTATTATTATTTTATACTTTTACACTTTATTTTTTATTACTAAATCATTGTTTGCATTCATTATCTTCCATTTATGTAGGATAAGTTGTACCGACACTCTTCGAACTATATATATTATTAAGTAAATCTTCATTATCTTTTCATATTTAAATTTTATGACAGTGAATTATTATCAACGATAAAGAATGCTACACGTCTTCTTTTATATATTTAATAGCTTCTCAATCAAGTGATGATACTAATACTTCTCTTTTTCGCCTTAAAAAATATACTCTACTGTATATTCTATTCTATATTTCTATTTTTTTTTTCATTATTGACGTTAAGATTTTTGTGTATTGCCATTTAAATGCTGATACGTAAATTATTATTATAATTACGTATAATTATTTATTTACGTACCGGTACTATTTCTGCATTACAACTTTGGCTCAATTTAATCTGTAAACAAAAAAGCATGGTTATTTGGTAGTCAATTTTCCTGAATTCGGGTGATTTGTAATCTATTTGATTCACAGAACCTGCATTTCTGTTAATAATTGACTACGTACCTAACAGGCTAATGATGTAATGACTATGTACGTCGTAGAAAAAAAAAAAAAAAAAAAAAAGGATTATGTATAACACAAATTAGGATTGTCACATTATCGTTATATATTTTATAAATATATATTATGTTTTACGTATTTTTTTGAATTCTTTTTGTTGAAAATTTCTATCGTCATGGAGGACGCTGACCGATTTTTCGAACTCGGAATAATGATACAAAAGGCTTTCAAAATGTTATATTTAAAATCTACTAAATTAGGACATACTAAAGGAATCTTATACGTTTGATGATATTATTAGTTTTGTATTGGTGTCGAAAAGATTCGAATAAAGTGTTCATATGATATAGGTAACTGTCAGAGGATGTTCCAGGTCTTTTGAGTTTTACTATCCGGGTATTCTCATAGAGAAAGAAAATCGTTATAGAAAAAAAATATATATATATATATTTTTGATACAGAATACAAGTCGTCATATTAATTAGGATAATTAAAAAAAAAAATTGTATGGATACTTTTGATAAGTCGATAAATATCAAGAAGCAAAAAAAAGGTAAATTCATCAAATTACTTGAATAGAAAAAAAAAATTAACAATCATTTCATTAAAACTCATGAATTATCTAACACTGTTGCACTCGGAATTCTTTTAAAAGAGGAGTTAGACAAATTTTACAAAGACAAGAATGTTGAATGTTCGGATTAATGTGTGAAGAAGCAAACAAGCACATGTTGAAGGAAATCTTTTCAAAAATCTGATATGAATGAAAATTTTGAAATATTTCATATAATAATGATTCTACCTTTTATCTCGTTTCAAAAATTCGTAACCAAATTTAGTTCAGGTACTCCTGATATTATTATATCTAATTGGAAAATGGTTATATGGTGTGTCAAAAGTTAAAAGGGCCCCCATTTTTACAATTTTTTGAAAAATGAGTTTTTGTTAGATTCATGTAAATCTTTGACATGATTAACATTTTTCAATTATAAATGAAAGTCGATTTGTATAATGAAAAATCAAGATAATGGTAAAAGAAAATTACTCGAGGCCAATACATCACGAGGTTACCTGTTACCTTTAACCAATCTAAATCGTAAAATTTGATTGATCCCGGATTAGTCCGAAAATCAAAACAATTATCTAATATGTAAAAATAGATTCTTAACTTTTAATACTCTATATAGAAAATTATTGTGGGGGATGATCGTGAAATCGGATGATGCTGAAATTTTATTATGAAAATTTAAAAATTTTTAGAGCCTTTTTTGTTAGCTTTTTTTTAGGTTAGGGTTAGAGTTTAGAGTAGAGTTGTTAATAAAAGAGTATATATAGATTTTAGTAAGTATTATAGATTTAAATAGAGACTCTAAATTTTAGCTTTATCTGATTTTACGATTATTCTCTACAATTATAAATCAATTAATATATACTAGAGGTTGAAACCGGTTTTAATAATTCGTGATATTTTAGAAATTTATCCAATTAAAAAAAAACTTCTTTAAGTTCTTTTTCTACTTGCTCATCTTTTTTTATTTTTATTTTTTGAGCTAAGTTTCTGTTATCTTAGTTTCTTGCTACTTCTTTGAACTTTTCCTCTTTTTTGTTTTCTTTTAAATTAGATTAGCTTGTTTATATTCTTTCTTTTTACTTTTTAGTTTTTTCTTTGCTTTTTTGTAGTTTTTAGTATAGTTAAAGATTATTATATATTAGAAGTTTTTATATTCAAACTTAGTAATTTTTTTTAGATAAATATTTCTTCTGATTAACTATTTTAGTAACTTTTTTCTATGTTTTGTATTATTTTTAAAGATTTTAATAGTTGCTATTTTAATTTTTAAATTTTTTTTTTCTTCATATTTATTTTTATTTAATATCTAGATACTTTTTTCTAATGAAGAGTTTGAGTCTGTAAGAAGCAAATTATCTTCTAACTCTTTTTCAGTAATATGTTGTTAGTTTAAACTTACTATACTATTTTTTTTTTATTAGTTTATTGAACTTCTTCTATTTGACTGAATTTGTTTTTATTTTTTTATTTGCTAATATTTAATTATTTTCTAATTCTATTTCTAAACTTTTTTTTTTTTTTTTTTTTTTTTTTTTTTTTTTGACGGTGGTTACATTTCTTAGCTTATTTTGTTTGTTTTGTGTACCAAGGTAACAAATAGTTAATTTCATCAAGTCTTCATTTAA